TATTATTATTATTATTATTATTATTATTATATATTATCAATCATTATTATAATTATCATCAATTATCATTATCATTATTATCATTATTTTTTTTATTATTATTATTAATATTATTATTATTTTTTTTTTATTATCATTATTATTATTATTTTTTATTATTTATATTATTATTATATTATTATTATTATTATTATTATTATTATTATATATTATTATTACTATTATTATTATTATTATTATATCATTATTATTAATGTATTATTATTATCATATTTTATTGTTATATTATTATTATTATTATTAATGTTATATTTTTTATTATTATTATTAATATTATAATTATCATTATTATTATTGTAATTATTATTGTTATTATTATCATTATTATTATTATTGTTATTATTATTATCATTCATTGTCAATTATCATTATCATTATTATATATTATTATCATTATTATATATTATTATTATTATTTATTATTATTATTATTATTATTATTTTATTAATTTTATTATTTTATTATTATCATTTATTTATCATTATTATTTATTATTATTATTATTATTATTATTATATTATTATTATTATTATTATTATTATTATTATATATTATTATTCTTATTATTATTATATTATTTATATTATTATATTATATTATTTTATTATTATTATTATTATTATATTATTTTATTATTATTATTATTATTATCATTATTATTATCATTATCATTATTATTATTACTATCATTATTATTATCATTGTTCTTATTATAATCATTACCATCATCATCATTACTATTACTATTACTATAATCTTCATTATTATCATTATCATTTTGATTACTATTGCTATCATTATCATAATAATAATACCAATGATATTAATAATACTAATTATGATAATGATAATAATAAGAGATGAGATATAATCAAAATTTAATAATTGATAATAATCACAATATAAATGATGATGATAGTAACAACAACAACGATAATGATGATAATATGAATAATGAAAATAATATCAATAATAATATTTAAAATAACAATAATAATATCAATAATATTGATAATAATGATAATGGTAATGGTAATATTAGCAATACTAATAATGCCAATAATAATGATAATAATGATGATAATAGTAATTATAATAATGATAATAACAATAATGAAAATAACAAAAATAATAAGGACAATAAAACAGTAATGATGAAATGATAATACCATATAATGGTAATGAATGATTAATGAATAATGTTAAAGTATAAGGAGATAAGTAATACTAATAATGAGATAGTAAATAGAAATACTAGTAATATGATAGTATGATATAGTAATAAATGAAATAGTAATAAAAATAATAGCAATCGTAACAATAATAAGAACAGTAATGATGAAAATGATGACGATAATGATAGTGATTATATTTACAGTAATAGCAATGATAATAAATATAACAGTAATTTTAACAATAATGATAATGATAACAATAAGTATAATATAATGGTAATTATAATAAAAAATTGAATAATTATAATGAAAATGATACTGATAATAAAGATAATAATGAATAATCAATAAATAATTATAACAAAAATGAAATGATAATAATAATGATGGATGATGATAATGTGAATAATGATAATGAATAATAATGATAATAGTAATAATAATATAATAATAATTAATAATAATAATAATAATAATATAATAATAATAATAAATAATAATATAATAATAATAATAATAATAACAGTATAAAATAATACAAATAAAACAACCAATGATAATAATAACAATAATATAATAATAATGAATAATAATAATAATATATTAATAATATATATAATAATAATATAATATAGAATAATAAGAATAAGAAAAATAATAAGATGATAATAATATAATAATAAATAACATAAAATATGATAAAAATAACAGTAGAATATACTAACAATAATAATATAAAAATATTAGTTAAAAATTCTACTAACAATAATGATAGTGGTAACAATGATAACAATCATAATAATAACAATGATAAGAATGATAATAAAATAATGTAAAGCAGAAACACAAATCAACAACAACAATAATGGTAATAATAATAATATGATAATTATAACATAAGGAAACAATATAATGATAATGATGATATTGATAATAGTAATGATAATGATAATATGAAAATAGTAATATGACAATAAAAACATATAGTAAATTGATGATAACAATTTAAATGGAATAATATAACTGAGGATAATCATGAAAATTATAATGACAATAATAATTGTATTAATGATCATTAAACAATAACAGTAAGATAATAATGTAGCAAATTGATAATAATGATAACATAGGTAATAATAATAAATAATAACAGCAACAATAATATAGTAATACAATGATGATAATATGATAATAAAATATGATAATAGTAATGACAATAACAATGATAATAAATGATATTGTAATAATGATAGTAATT